GCTACTCCCATCAACGTGGTAAAAAGCATCATATGTCGAGACTCAGGTCAGGTATCCCTTCCTCTGTTAAATCTCTCCTGACCTTTCTAGATAGAGTGTAAATTGGTTCCGCTTTCTGTAGTATCAAGGTATAGCAAGAGTGATGAAAATATGAAGACTCTGCCATAGAAATTTTTCGTCCAGGACGTAACTGCAAAATAACTTGGCCTAGTTATGGATTTTAGTACCCTAGTCCATCTCAGGCCTTTAGCTTAGAAGAAAATTATGATCATGGCTTTGACCTAGAAAATTATGACCATTCTAAGAAATGGAATTAAATGGTTTCTTTACAGTCATAACTAGTCAGAATACTTCATTATTATAGCTAGTATTTTCACTCTTTTCATCAGCACTGCTAACAAATGTGTGAAGTGTTGAAACATAATAAAATTGTTCCTAACCTTTCTGTATAACCTTGCTACTGTGACCTCTCCCCTGACCTCAGGAGGATCCATCCTAATTTAATATTGAACAAAATAAAACAGGCTGCCAGTAAATCATGTATCTCAGAGTCAAATATAAATTACATTTCAAGTATTATAAGGACATAAATCTTTCTACACTGATGTTCGTTGTTGGTAACACAGAAGAACTAGAAACAACCTAAACTTACAAACCAAGAGACTGGTTGAGTAAAAGGTGGTGTTATCTGACAATGAAATATTACACATTAAGACTGATGTAAAAATTGGTTTAACATTGAATTAAATAACAGTTTGGTTCGACTTCTGGTGGGGAAGTGTGTGTGGATTTCCATATGCGCAGAATGGGTATACACCAACATGTTAGTTGTAATTACCTCCCAGTGATGGTATTATGGATTCCTTCTTTTTTTCTTGCCTGTCTATATTTTCTCATTTTTTTCAATGTGTATTACCTGTGAATTCAAAATAATTTTTTGGCTTTGAGGCATATTACATAATTATTTTCAGCTTTATTATTTGAATAATCTCTGCCCTTATTCCACTTCAGCTAAAACAATTTGATGTTTGTATGATTTATTTCCTTTGAGTACTCTATTGAAGTTTTATTAAAGACTAATGGTAAAGCTAAAAGGCAAGAAAAGCAATCAGACTGGATACTTAGATAAGTTTGGATCAAATAACCAAGAAGTGATAGCAACAAAATAGAATTTAATTTTCTTTTTCTCGATCATTAATTTGTCTTCCATTTTTGACAGCATGCTAATCCCATTCTCCATGAAGAATTGCTTCCAGTTACTTTGTAATCTCAAGGTCCCAGCAGCTGGCTTTAAAAACACAGTTAAAAGTGGACTCATTTTACAGTCGATTTCCAATGACGTTTACCACAATCTGGCTGTGGAAGACTGGATCCATGACCATATGAATTTAGAAGGCAAGCCGGTCCTTTTCTTGTGGAGGAATTCTCCCTCTGTGGTAATTGGTCGGCATCAGAACCCTTGGCAGGAATGTAACCTGAATCTGATGAGAGAAGAAGGTGTGAAACTGGCTCGGAGGAGAAGTGGAGGAGGCACAGTCTACCATGATATGGGTAACATCAACTTGACTTTTTTTACAACCAAGAAAAAGTATGATAGGATGGAGAATCTCAAATTAGTTGTGAGAGCCCTGAAGGCTGTCCAGCCACACCTGGATGTGCAGGCTACTGAAAGATTTGACCTTTTACTTGACGGACAGTTTAAAATCTCAGGTACAGCTTCCAAGATTGGCCGCAATGCAGCTTATCACCATTGCACTTTGCTATGCAGTACTGATGGGACCTTCTTATCATCTTTGCTGAAGAGCCCCTACCAAGGGATCAGGAGCAATGCCACTGCCAGCACACCTGCCTTAGTAAGAAACCTTATGGAAAAAGATCCCACTCTGACCTGTGAAGTAGTGATAAATGCTGTTGCCACAGAGTATGCTGCTTCTCATCAAATCGATAATCACATTCACCTAATAAACCCAACAGACGAGACAGTGTTTCCTGGAATAAACAGCAAAGCCAGAGAACTACAGACCTGGGAATGGATATATGGCAAAACTCCGAAGTTCAGTGTAGACACTTCTTTCACTGTGTTACATGAACAGTCACACTTGGAAATTAAAGTATTCATCGATGTCAAGAATGGGAGAATTGAAGTCTGTAATATTGAAGCACCTGATCATTGGTTGCCACTGGAAATATGTGACCAGTTAAATTCAAGTTTTATTGGTAGTAAGTTTTGCCCAATTGAAACGACAGTGCTAACAAGTATATTACATAGAACATATCCAGGCGATGATGAACTACACAGTAAATGGAATATTCTTTGTGAAAAAATTAAGGGAATAATGTGATTCCAAGTAAATTTCTTAATGTTGACAGTTTTGATGAGAAAATTAAAATGTTTACAGTGCCTTGTCTTTTTAAATTTTATTCTTGGCTGTGCATGGGCTTTCTCTAGTTGCAGTGCGTGAGCTTCTCATTGTTGCAGAGCTCAGGCTGTAGCCTTGAAGGCATCAGTAGTTGTGACTTGAAGGCTATAGAGCACAGGCTCAGTAGTTACAGCACACTGGCCTAGTTACCCTGGGCATGTGAAATCTTCCTGGNCTCAAGTATTCTTGCGTGGAAAATTCCATGGACAGAGGAGCCTGGCAGGCTACAGTCCACGGGGATGCAAAAAGTTGGACACAACTGAGCTCATGCACACACATGCTCACATATGTGCATGCTCACACACAGATTCGCCCAATTTCATATTTATAGTTTTTCACTTGTTTTTGTTCTTTTGGTGTCAGATTCAACTCACCCCTGTTGACTGCCTCTCATTCACCAGAGGCCTTACTCCTCAATGCTCCCACTCCTCCTAAGCTGAGAATTCTTCTACTCTTAACTAATCTGGTCACAAACCTTCATTTATAATTTGAAGGTGGAGGCTTTCAGAAATGAGTTCCTTCAGCTGCTTGTGTTTTCTACTTCAACTTTTCTCATTTCATTCAATCTCAGAGAAACACATACCTCCTCTTCCTTAGAGCTGAGCCCCTGGTTGTACTGTGAATTTTTCTTCTCCAGGTTTTTTTAAATATTTAAACTGCACAGGGTGTCAGTTGCATCACTGGGATCTTTTGTTGCAGTGCACAGATTCTCTAATTGTGGCCCTGGGGCTTAGTTGCTCCAAGCATGTGAGATCTTACTTCCCCGACCAGGAATTAAACCCCTGTCCCCTGTATTTCAAGGCAGATTCTCAACCACTGGACCACCAAGGAAGTCTCCTGTTTGTGCTTTGTACTATCAATTATTTATCTCCTTTATCTCACATAAGTCTATCTCAACTTTTACTGAATCATTAGCCTTAGTGAATGGACATGCGAATGTCTCCCCTTTCTCAGAGACTCCTGCTCAAGGGTTTACTGTTTCTTTCCATTGCATGGTTGCCAAACTGCTTCAAAGAGTACCACCCCTGCCAACCATTTCCTGTCTCTATAGTTCACTCACATACTCCTCATTTCTACACTAGTTCCTGTTTATTGAGTGCCTACTCTGTGCCAGATACTTTGCTAGTTGTTGGATGTTCCTGGTAAAAGAGACATGGTCACCAACCTCAGGAAATGACAATTTAGTGCAGTGGTTTTCAAACTCTAAAAACTAAGAGTAAAAAATATATCTTACCTGGTGCACCAGCATACACGTATGTTGTCTGTTTCACAATATGAAGCTTACCCTTTACTACATACTTAGCTGATATTTTATATTCAATTTTATTTCATCTTAAAAATTAACTTTATGACCCATTAATAGGTCAAGACTTAAGTTGTTTAAAATAGGGAAAGTAGACAAACCAGTAAATGCTTACAAAATGAGAAAGTATGAAAAAACAATCCAGGCAGGTAGACAATACGGGATCCCCACTTGGAGCCATCGGGGACCTGACACTGATGTTGAGCCTTGAGGAATGAAGAGGCAGCCATGCAAAGTGGAGCAGGGAGGACAGCAGTCATGCTGCATCAGCGATCCGTTGCTACATTCCAAACCACTCCAAAACTTGATGGCTAAAACAACGGTCATTTATTTTATTCAAGGTCAAGGTGACAGCAGGTTTGGTTTCTTCTGAAGCTCGTCTCCTTGGCTTGCAGGTGGTGCCATCTTGCTGTGACTTCACACAGTCTTTCCTCGGTGCATATCTGAGTCAGGATGTCCACTTTTTATAAGGACACCCATCATACTGGATTAGGATCACCTACAGACATAACTTATTTCTTTGAAGACCTTATTTCCAAATATGGTTATATTCCGAGGTACCAGGGATTGGGATTTAAACATGTGAATTTCTAGGGGTTATGTGTGTGCACAATCACCCCTTAACAGAGGGGTTTCAGGGTCCTCCCCAACCCCAGACTACTCTGCCCAACTCTTCCTATGACCTCTACCTGGCTTTGTCCCTCCACACTATTCACTCTTGATTTGAAATCTTCAAGCTTTTCCAGATGTGATGTTCAGAAGGGCACTCTCCAACACCAGGACTTCTGTTTCCCTCTACAGACTTTGGCTTAGCTTCTTCTTCAAGCTTCTGGTCTGCCCACTGCCTCTAGCAGTATCCCCTCTCCCAGCTGATCCCCATGGGACCTAGTCTGTCCCCCAACCAGTCAACTGGCATCTCAATGGATAGGCTTTCCCAGGACAATTGATGCTAAGCTGCAGAGCTTTACAGATGTTCCAGTCAAGGTTAGGTGAGCTGCAAAAGGCATCCGGTATTACTAAAAGGCTTGATTTGCCTTTATAAAGAGTTAAGTAATAGAGGATAACTGAATTTAGGTAAATGTCTGCTAAAGACACATAATTGTAGGGACTTCCTGGGTGGTCCAGTGGCTAAGGTGTTGATTCATTCATCAACATCCAAATAAGTGAAAATCTGGGGAGATGTTTCAACTAGCTATACTTGAAACACTATAACTCTGAGTAACTTATTGATAAAAGTATTCAGGATTGGTCACACAAATGAACAAGGAATCCATACATTAGTAGAAATATAAAAATTTATTGTTAAATTCATACATTATAGGAATGATCTGTCCAAAGTTTAAAAAAAAAAACCCAACATTCATTTAAAGTATAAATATATATGTAAGTTAGGCTACTATCCATCATATTTTTTTCGTGTGCTTATTGTGAAAAATGTCCACTGTTGTTTCATGACATGGTCTTAAATCAAAATCACAATATCCAAGGGAAAAACGACTCTAAGAAGAGAAGAAAAGAGGTTTTTTTAAACAAAAAGGATCAAAGCCATTTTGTTAAAGAATGCTACACAGTCACATAAGACTATATCCTACCTGTGGTTTCTTAAAATAATCAAGTCCCCTTCCAATCTTAATCATCCATCCATTGTTGAACCTATTGAAATCAGTATATAGTATTATACTCCAGACATTTAAGTCAGACAATGATCAAAGTTGTATGAAGTGTCAGCTAAATCTCCCCCTAACAAAATCACTTCTTTCAGTGGCAAGAGTTGAACCAAACCTGGGTTTACCTATGGGCTGTGTCTACAATGAAACAAAACAACCATTAGTTGATAAAAGAGTTTAACAATTCAATTAAACCTTCCTCATGAATTTCATCTTCCTGAGAAAGTTTCCCTGTTCTGCTAACAAGTGGCTTCCAAGTGTACTCAGGCAGACTGGTGGTGTTTCAGGGCCTTCCCCGCCTAGAGGTGGGGATGTACCAGGGCAGAGGAGGCCCCAACGGGTACAACACAGCATCCTGTCATGCCTACTAGAAAATTTAATAAACTATAAGAAGTAAGCCAAATTAAATAAATACCAGTATCACCAGAAAAGGAAATTATCCCAATGGCATAATACTGTATGTATAATTGGATAGAAAAGTACTTCCTTTGCTCAGATGACACAGAACATGTCAATTTTATTCCATTAGGAAAGAGGAAACTCACAGAGGACAAAATTACCCAGATTTTTTTTTCTTCAAAAGTGAAAAATACTAAAATTAAGCTTTATTTAAATTTTTGATATTTAAGTGGAATATTAATGTAATTATAAATAACATGAGAAATAAAAATAAGTATTTTTCAACTGCATAAAAATTAAAGTATTAAAAAAAATTAAAGCATTACTATACACTAACCTAATTTCTCGGTCATGTATTGAAGAAGAATATTCTAGTTCCAAATGCACTCCGTGATTCCTGAGTGACTGTTTTATCTCTTCCAGGCCACTACTCTGCTGCTCTTTCCCAGTGCCCTGTTAATATGGAAAAAAAAAAACAAAACATTTTTTGACTCAGTTATTAATATTTTAAATTATTCCTAGGCTATGCAATGTGTGTGTTCAGTTGCATAGTTGTGTCACTGGCAGGTAGATGCTTTACTGCTGAGCCACCTGAGAAGTGCATGCAATGTGTATCTTAGGTGAATTAAAATATAAATATTCTACACTAGTTTCACCATCCATTAATGCAAAGAGGCAACCAAAGAAGATGAAGTAGTTTAAGAGCAACTGTTTTTATCAAAATAATCATTTTTTTTCTAATGTGAACATAACACAACTTGGTGCCATCTCCTAAGATGTATTTTAATGGTGCTATTTATTCAGATGAGGATTTCTTCTCAAATTAATCCTAGAAATATGAATTGTTTAGAATTATCCCTATTTAAATCAAAATCAAGATAGCGATGATAGAAACTATCAATACTGCAGACAGAGTGACTGACTCATAGAACATCCAAGAAACTAAATTGACAAACTATTTGAATAAGAGAGCTTAGCTAAGCGGCCAAATGCAAGGTACAACATACTAAAATCAACAGCATCTCTTCCAATGTGTTTTATACCTATTCCCAGGTGGTTCAGGAGTAAAGAATCCACCTGCCAATGCAGGAGACGCAAGAGACGCAGGTTTGATCCCTGGGTCGGGAAGACCTGCTGGAGGAGGAAATGGCAACCCACTCTCAGTATTCTTGCCTGGAGAATCCCATGGACAGAGGAGCCTGGTGGGCTACAGTCCATGGGGCCACAAAGAGTCAGACACAACTGAGCGACTGAGCATGAAGATAGCAAGTTCATTTCCAATGAAACAGCTCTGGCTGAAGCATCACATCCAAGTTTGCTTTGAACTACATCCTACAACTGAGTAAAGTTCATGATGTTAAGAAAGAGTAAATGCTTTCAGGTACCTACTTCATCCAGAGAGGTGAGAAGATGAATAGTTTTTACTTTACATGGTCTCTTAACCAGCATCTCACAAAATCGAAGGAAGTTATACAGCTGAAAGATATTAGGATAGGTTATTACTAACTCGTACATGTTGAATAATAACTATTTCATCCTATGTGAGTACATTTCACCTACCTGATGTGTGTGTCTAATATAAGGATCTTCTATCCAAACTTCTGTAACTGTTTCACTCAGGTATTCTTGAAAAAGGGACTCATAGCTGAAACCTGTTGCATTCTCTTCTATTTTAATTTGCTTGTGATATTTTCCAGCTACAAAACAGAAGCTTCTGTAATAAAACCAGTGACTACTTGTTTTCTTTTTATACATACTATATTTATATACAGTGAAAAATCAGGAGCACATACAAGTTAATGTTTTTAAACTCAAGCACTCAGTGAGCATTTTCGAATGCTTAATCTACACCAGACACATTGCAAGATGCTACACACACACAGAGGTAAATAAGGCAAACCTTCCAATGAGGGAGTTTTGCCTTCATGGAGGCCAGGCAAATGGGAAAGTCCAGAGATTCCTTGGAATAGGTTCTTGAGCTAAATCCTATAGAACCAGTTAGTTTATTCAGGAGAGAACCATAGTGTATATAAACATATCTAATATTTTTGTCACCATGAGTAGAATCATAAGCTATGATTCAGTGGGCAACTGGCCTTTCTCTTCAGATTTAAGTCTTTTTATGTCTTGCAATTTAATACCTGAGGTATTACATATATGGCTTCCCCGATGGCTCAGCAGTAAAGAATCCACCTGCAATGCAGGAGACTCAGGTTTGATTCTTGTGTTGGGAAGATTCCCTAGAGAATTCCAGTATTCAACCCACTCCAGTATTCTTGCCTGAAAAATCTCATGGACAGAGGAACCTGGTGGGCTACAGTCCAAAGGGTCACAAAGAGTCAGACATGAGTGAGTTACTAAGCACACATTAAATATATAAATGCAATATAATATGGAGTCTAGGAGTCTTAGAACTTGTAGACAGAGTGTTAAGTAGAAACTTATAGTACTTCTTAATAATCCAAGCTAAAGACTAGAATGCCATAGGGTCAGCAGGGGAGTTCTATTGTTTTTGTTCATTCAAAATGAATAATTATTGAGTAAGTTATCAAAGACCTTTAAGGTTTTTTTTAAAAAAATATGATCTTTAATGGTAGTTCCTGATTCATATGGTGGTTGCACTTTTAAACTTTGTTTGAAAATCAGTAGATTGGATTCTGTTCCTAATATCTCAAAACAGAAAAAGTTACAAACTGTGCATCAGTTTTCAAGCCAAGCTAGACACACAGGTTAGTTTAAGCCAGTGTATTTAAGCCACAAAGTTGACGGTGCTCTATTTCCTTCAGATTTCAGAGGGAAACTGCATTGCAGGTTTCAATTTGGGATGAAGTAAACAATTTTATTACTCCTCAACAAAGTAGCCAGATAGCCAGGTTAATCTGGGCAGCCAGGGTTTGGGATAGTACAGAATACCAGGAAGGGGTGTGCAGAGGCTGGCGTAAAGAGGAGCTGAGGGCTGGGGGACACTGTTTTTGGTTGTTTTTTTTGTTTTTTTTTTTGTTTTTTTTGAGGACAGCAGTTCCTTTGACTGTAGAATGCAGCAGCTGTGAAATGTCAGGTGGCAACAGCCACTGGTGTCTATATGTCTGTAAACTGGATGCTCAAAAAGTAGAGAGCTAATTATAAAAAGGGAACCATACCTCCTGCATCTCTCATCACTGTGACTGCTCAGTCATGTCTGACTCTGTGACCCCATGGACTACAGCCCACCAGGCTCCTCTGTTCATGGGATTTCCCAGGCAAGAATACTAGATGGGTTGTCATATCCTCCTCCAGGGGATCTTCCCCACCCAGGGATCAAACCCATGTCTCCTGCATTGGTAGGCTGATTCTTTACCACTGCGCCACCTGGGGAGCCCCCAGAGAACCAGTTATAAATAGGGAACCATACCTTCTGCATCTCTCATCATTAAGAATACCTAACTCCTAAAACGTTCTGATTCAAGACAAAAATCTCAAAGAAGCCCTGGGCATTTCTTGAGCTACTTTAATATTTTGGTCATTTTATAAAGGGAGACACAAATAAAATACAGGCTTTACATTCAGTATTGCTCTGTAGTAATAGTGAAACCAGAATCCACACATAAGCTTCATGGGGATCATGAATTCCTTAAAATGGCATGCAAAGTTCTGCAATATGTAGAGCTGTCCTCAAATTCTCAGGAGGGTATCCGACTGTCATCTTCCCCGGAGCAAAAACAAAACAAAACAGGGCAAAGGGGCTTCCCTTGTGGTCTAAGACTCTGAGCTCCTGGTGCAGGGGTCTGGGTTTGGCCCCTGGTCAGGGAACTAGATCCCATACATTGCAACTTAAAAAAAAAAGTCCCTGTCTTTTTTTTTTAGTGATGCAACTAAGGCCCAGTGTAGCCAAATAAATAAATATTAAAAAAAAAAGTTATGAATTGGAAATGCAGAGGAGACCTGTAAGCTCCCAAGGGTAAACAGTCCAGACCACGCAGAGCTCCAAAGGACACAGCCAGAAACACTGGGTGAAACAGGCTTTGTCACAAGAGCTCAGGCACACACTCTCCAAAGTAGCCTCCTTACCTTCTTTTTCTTGGTCCAAGTATTTCTTTATGTGTTCTGCTCTATCCATGTAGTCAGAAATTCTTTTTCTGAGATTACACTTCTTTGTTTCATCTTTGGTGCCTACAAATTAAAAAATAGACTCTCAAGATTCCAAACAGGCTTTCTCTTTGGTACAGGCAGTGTTTCCTAAGTTTTCCACGGATTTCCTGTCCTTTGGCATGGTTCGCCTTGGTCCTAAAATACACAAATAATAGGTCCCAATTTGTGATCCTATACAACCTTCACCTTTTCACTGAGCATCAGAAGCCACTTTATTTAGGAGTGGGGACTCTGACACTTTGACTGACAGCTGGGAACACTCAATCAGGTGTGGAAATAAAGGTGGCTTATTACATGTCACTGACTATGAGCACTATTTTGTTCCAATTACCCATAAGTTTGAAATCTTAGCATAATCAAAAGATAGCAAACAACATCTTTCTTCTACAAAACCAGTCTTTATCCCAGACTTCCCCTTTACAGCTTATGTTATCTCATTGTCCCAGCCATCCCAAAATCAGAGGTATTTTTGAGTATACATTATCAATAAAAGCTTATCCCAAGCCCTACCTCCAACCAGTTACCAAATTACTTCTGGTCCCTTCCTTCCTCCCTTTTAATACTGCTTTCATTTTTCGCTTTTATTTCATTTTTAAACTCTGTTTTAAAAAAATTTTTTTTTTAATTAATCGTATATTTATGGAAAAGCTAAGAAAATGGCAGAGACAAATGAAGGCAAATCCCTTCATCCAGACTGCCTTATATTAACATATTACACAACTACAGTACAATGATCAGAGCAAGCATGTGAACGTTGATACAACACTATTAGGTCACCTACATACCTTATTGGTATTTCACTAGTTATCCCACTTTATTGTCCTTTATTGTGCCCATCTTTGGGTGAAATATTCCCTTGATATTTCCAATTTTCCTGAGATCTCTAGTCTTTCCTTTTTGTTGTTTTCTTCTAGTTTCATGTACTGTTCATTGAAGAAGGCCTTCTTGTCTCTCTGTGCTATTCTCTGGAACTCTGTGTCTAGTTGGATGTAAAACTGGAAATATCAAGGGTACATTTCACCCAAAGATGGGCACAATAAAGGACAAAAAACAGTAAAGACCTAGTAGATGCTGAAGATATCAAGAAGAGATGGAAAGAATACATGGAAGAACTGTATAAAAAAGGTCTTAATGAACCAGACAACTCTGATGACGTGGTCACCCAGAGCCAGACATTCTGGAGTTCGAAGTCAAGTGGGCTTTAGGACTCACTGCTGTTAATAAGGGAGAAGGCAATGGCACCCCATTCCAGTACTCTTGCCTGGAAAATCCCATGGACGGAGGAGCCTGGTAGGCTGCAGTCCATGGGGTCGCTAAGAGTCGGACACGACTGAGCGACTTCACTTTCACTTTTCACTTTCATGCATTGGAGAAGGAAATGGCAACCCACTCCAGTGTTCTTGCCTGGAGAATCCCAGGGACGGGGGAGCCTGGTGGGCTGCCGTCTATGGGGTCGCACAGAGTTGGACACGACTGAGCAACTTCACTTTCACTTTTCACTTTCATGCATTGGAGAAGGAAATGGTAACCCATTCCCGTGTTCTTGCCTGGAGAATCGCAGGGATGGGGGAGCCTGGTGGGCTGCCGTCTATGGGGTCGCACAGAGTTGGACACGACTGAAGCAACTTAGCAGCAGCAGCAGCAGCTATTAATAAAGCTAGTGGATGTGATGGAATTCCAATGCTCACCACTTCAGTTGTGTATGACTCTGTGAGACTCCATGACTCTGTGAGACTCCATGCCTCTTTAGTCTTCTCCAATCTGTAATCGTTTAGTATGTTTCTGCCTTTTATGGCCTTGACATTTAGGAAGGGTAAGCAGTCAGTTATTTTGTAGAATGTGTCTCATTTTGGGCTGCTGCTGTTTTCTAAGGATAAGATTGAGGTTAAATATATTTTTAGCAAGAAAATCAAAGAAGTGTTGTGCCCTTCTCAGTGGGTACATGAGGTCAATATGTCTTTTTACTGGAGACGTCAACTCTGATGACTTGGTTAAGGTGAAGTTTACAGATTTCTCCACTAGAAAGTCACTATTTTCTATTTTGTATGAAAAAGCTATCTTGTGGGTAAATATCCTATCTCTCTTTACTCTTCATCCACTATATTTTAGGATCCACTGATGGTCTTTTTTTTTTTTTTTTTGGCCATGGTATGCAGCATGTGGGATCTCAGCTGCCCAACCAGGGACTGAACTTGAGCCTCTTGCATTGGAAGGCAAAGTCTTAACCACTGGCCTGCCAAGGAAGTCCCATTGATGGCCTTTCCCTGTAACAATTACTACTGCAGTATTTGCCAAACGGTGATTTTCTATTTCCATCATTTCTACTTAATGTATTAACTGGAATTCCACTGTAAGGAAAAGCTGTCCCTTCTCGCCCATCTACTTATTTATTCTACTAATAATTTATATCAATATGGACTCATGGATATTTTATTTTATGGGTTGTAATTGAAAACTATCATCATTTTCTTTTTTTTACTTTATTTTTTTATTGAAGGATAATTGCTTTACAGAATTTTGCTGTTTTCTGTCAAACCTCAACATGAATCGGCCACAGGTATACATATGTCCCCTCCCTCTTGGACCTCCCTCCCATCCCAACCCTCTAGGTTCATACAGAGCCCCTGTCTGAGTTTCCTGAGCCACACAGCAAATTCCCGCTGGCTCTCTATTTTATATATGGTAATGGAAGTTTCCATGTTACTCTCTCCATACATCTCACCCTCCCCTTCCCTCTCCCCGTGTCCATAAGTCTGTTCTCTATGTCTGTTTCTCCATTGCTGCCCTGCAAATAAATTCTTCAGTACCATTTTTCCAGATTCCGTACATATGCCTTAGAATATGATATCTATCCTTCTCTTTCTGACTCACTTCACTCTGTATAATAGGTTCTAGGTTCATCCACCTCATCAGAACTTACTCAAATGTGTTCCTTTTTTATGGTGTAATATAAAAATGTAGTAATATTCCACTTTGTATATGTACCACAACTTCCTTATCCATTCATCTGTCGATGGACATCTAGGTTGCTTCCATGTTCTAGCTATTATAAATAGTGCTGCAATGAACATTAGGGTACATGTGTCTTTTTCAATTTTGGTTTCCTCAGGGTATATGCTTAGAAGTGGGATTGTTGGGTCATATAGTGGGTTTATTCCTAGTTTTTTAAGGAATCTCCATACCGTCTTCCATAACGGCTGTATCAATTTACATTCCCACCAACAGTGCAAGAGAGTTCCCTTTTCTCCACACCGTCTCCAGCATTTATTGTTTGTAGACTTTTTGATGATGGCCATCTCACTGGTGTGACGTGATATATCACTGTAGTTTTGATTTGCATTTCTCTAATAATGAGTGATGTTGAGCGTCTTTTCATGAGCTTGTTAGCCATCTGTATGTCTTCTTTGGAGAAATGTCTGTTTAGGTCTTTTTCCCTCTTTTTGATTGGGTTGTTTTTCTGGCATTGGGTTGTATGAGCTGCTTGTATATTTTGGAAATTAACCCTTTGTCAGTTGTTTCATTTGCTATTATTTTCTCCCATTCTGAGGGTTGTCTTTTCACCTTGCTTATAGTTTCCTTTGCTGTGCAAAAGCTTTTAAGTTTAATCAGGTCCTACTTTTTTTTATTTTTGTTTTTATTTCCGTTACTCTAGGAGGTGGGTCATAGAGGATCTTGCTTTATGTCATTGAGTGTTCTGCCTATGTTTTCCTCTAAGAGTTTTATAGTTTCTGGTCTTACATTTAGGTCTTTAATCCATTTTGAGTTTATCTTTGTGTTTGGTGTTAGGAAGTGTTCTGATTTCATTCTTTTACATGTAGCTGTCCAGTTTTCCCAGCACCATTTGTTGAAGAGCCTGTCTTTGCCCCATTGTATATTCTTGCCTCCTTTGTCAAAAATAAGGTACCCACAGGTGCATGGGTTTATTTCTGGGCTTTCGATCTTGTTTCATTGGTCTGTATTCTGTTTCTGTGCCAGCACCATACTGTCCTGATGACTGTAGCTTTGTAGTATAACCTGAAGTCAGGAAGGCTGATTCCTCCAGCTCTATTCTTCTTTCTCAAGACTGCCTTGGCTATTCAGGGTCTTTTGTGTTTCCATATGAATTGTGACATTTTTTGTTCTAGTTCTGTGAAAAATGCTATTGGTAATTTGATAGGGATTGCATTGAATCTGTATACTGCATTTGGTAGTACAGTCATTTTCACAATCTTGATTCTTCCTACCCAGGAACATGGAATATCTCTCCATCTGTTTATGTAGTCTTTGATTTCTTTCCTTAGTGTTCTATAATTTTTTGTGTACAGTTCTTTTGTCTCCTTAGGTAAGTTTATTTCTACTTAATTCTTTTTGTTGTAATGGTGAATGGGATTGATTTCTTAATTTCTCTTTCTGATTTTGCATTGTTAGTATATTAGTATATACAAATGCAAGTGATTTCTGTGTATTGATTTTGTATCCTGCATCTTTGCTAAATTCACTGATTAGCTCTAGTAATTTTCTGAACTATCTTTAGGGTTTTCTATGTACAGTATTATGTCATCTGCAAACAGTGAGAGCTTTACTTCTTCTTTGCTGATCTGGATTCCTTTTTTTCTCTTTCTTCTCTGATTGCTGTAACTATGTTGAATAATAGTGGTGAAAGTGGACACCCTTGTCTTGTTCCTGATCTTAGGGGGAATGCTTTCAGTTTTTTACCATTGAGAATTATGTTTGCTGTAGGCTTATCATATATGTCCTTTCCTATGTTGAGGTAGGTTCCTTCTATGCCCATTTTTTGAAGAGTTTTAATCATAAATGGGTGCTGAATTTTGTCAAAAGCTATTTCTGCACCTATTGATATTATCATATGCTTTTTATCTTTCAATTTGTTAATAGGGTGTACCACATTGATTGATTTGCGTATATTGAAAAATCCTTGCATTCTTGGAATAAACCCAACTTGATCATGATGTATGGACATTTGATGTGTTGCTGAATTGTGTTTGCTAAAATTTTGTTGAGGATTTTTGCAGCTATGTTCATCAGTGACATTGGCCTGTAGTTTTCTTTTTTTGTCTTGTCTTTGTCTGGTTTTAGTATCAGGATGGGAAACTATCATCATTTTCTTGCTTAAATCAGCATTGGCTTTGAGAGCTCCTGTGTACTTCTGACATACCCCATTATTTTTTGAGTATTTCCTTACATTTTGGTGCAAAACGTAGTTTTCTTGCTCCAGCCCCAGAATTAACCATTTCTCCCAGAGATTTTGGTTTCTTTTATTGGAGAATGGTATCAAGAGATCATATTCTGAGTGCTAAGTGTGCTCACTGTAGCTTGGGGAAAATCTAGACGCTTTCTGTCAATACAGGCAGAATGTCTACGGAGGTTTACTAATACATACATCTCTATTGCTGTATCTGTTCATCTGCATCAAAACCCACAAATTCACATTAATTTTGATCCCACGGGGTTCATTCTAGCTTTCCTCCTTTCCTCACCTATAACTTCTTTCATTATCCACAATATATTTACTAGCTTGTTCCTGGTTAAATCCCTGGGTAGGGAAGATCCCCTGGAGAAGGAAATGGCTACCGACTCCAGTATTCTTGCCTGGAGAATCCCATGGATAGAGGAGCCTGGCAGGCTACAGTTCATGGGGTTGAAAGAGTCGGACATGACTGAGCAACTAATACTTTCACTTTCAAGTTCAGTATAGACATCAAGCAGTTTCAGAATTCTTAAGCCATACTATCATGAGAAAAAAAAAATTAACCAACTAAAATATAATGTTTGGGGACTTTCCTGGTGGTCAGGAGGTTAAGAATATGCCTTCCAAGGCAGGGGACTCGGGTTCAATCCCTGGTCAGGGAACTAAGATCCCACATGTCACAGGACAACTAAGCCCATCTGCCTCAACTAGAGAACCCATGCTGCAACAAAGACTCAGCACAGTCAAAAAAGAATTAAAAAACAAAACCTGGTTTGCCACTTTTAGCTGTGTGATCTTGGCCAGTTATTCAACCTCTTTTTATCTTCTTGCCTAACGTGGAAAGAGTAATAGTACCCTAGAAAATTGTGGAGAGGACTAATTATGAAAAACTAATTGCAAAGAGTTGACATGACTTAGCATCTGAACAACAACAAATTATGAGACTGGCATGCAGGAAATACTCAATAAATGTTGTCAGTATCATTATCATCTACTTAATTTATTTACATACTGCCCTCTCAGCTTCCTTTAGAACTAGATTTTATCTAACACCTCTTTTCTTAACTCTACTGTTACTTTGCTACTGCCTATAAATATACACTATTTTCTCTGTCCTCTTTCTTAATCATTATCCTTGATCACAGTTTGACCCATTCTGTGGGTCAAACATGACTTTGTCTTCCAGGCTTCATCATATAGCCATCTCCAAGTCCCATTGGAAACTCACTCCCACATCTAATCAATGAGCCAATGCCAGTAATTCAATGTCCACTCTGTCCTCTCCCTTTCCTAATAAGTGGTGTCATTCAGGTTATGGTTGATTCAGGCCCTCATCTCCTCTCATCTGGACTCCTGCAGGAGTTCATTAATTGATCTGCTTGACTTCAGTCTCTTCAGGTTCATGTCTCTCCTACACTCCTGCCCTGTTCACTCATTTATTCAAGAAATATTTGCTGAGAACTTACCACATGCCAGGCATTATTCTAAGCACTGGAGACACAGCAGTTAATAAAACAAAACACAATTCCCCACTATCATTCAAATGGGAGGAAAGACAACAGCAGAGATAAATTGGTAAATCACATATGTTAGACTGTGATAAAGTGCCATTAAATAAAGCAAAGAAGAAGGATAAGGGAGTCCTGGGATGGGGGTTGTAATTTCACACTGGGGTCAGGGAATGGCCTCACAAATAACGTGGTATTTGTGTAAATACCTGAAAGAGGAAGAAGAACAGGTCATGCAAATATTTGGGAGAAAAACATATTCCTAAGAGAGGCAGGCCCTGAAATGCAACTTTAATTATGTCACTTCTTTGCAGAAACTTTAGTTTCTCCTTGTCAAGGAAATGAGTTAAAATCTCCTGGCAGTCAAGGCCATCCACAGCATGCTCCAAGCACCAGAATACCTTTAAACTTCTCCTCCTCCTCTATAGGTATATGCCAAAGTGAACTGAACCACTTATTTAGTAAAACAGCAGAGACAGAACTGGAACACTTTTAGCTGAGTTTCTGAAATTCTACTTAACCTTCCAAAACCCCTATCAAAAGCAACCTCCGCCTTTCCATCCCCAAATGACCACTGGCGCTTTAAATCCTCATTCCATTTGTTTCCGTGACTCTTGGCACTTATTCCCTGCAGTACAGTTATCTGCACTTGTATCTTAACCTTCCAGATCATGTTACTGTCTCTTTAACCCCCACAGGATCAGTGGAGCACACAGGAGCAGAACTCCTGGGATTCTGCTGCTTCAGAGTCCAACACTGTATGCCATATCCCTTTCTGGGAGTCAGCAGAGCAGACTCACTAAAGCCTTGGGTTCCAACTGCAACTCTACTAATGGTGGCAGTTCACGAAAGTGAACTTTGCTTTTTATGTGGTAAAACGAGGGTAACATCACCTCACATTTCATAGGGCAACCATAAGGACGAATTGGGATCATGCTTCTAACGTGCTCTGCACACTACCTACCACTCAAGACTTATAAATGATAGTTACTCTTGTTATCACCAAGATGGTCCCTGCCCAAGGTAGGGTTTCAGAGTTCTAAGAAAAGCACTGTGCACTGAAGAGCAGCCTCCGTTGTCTCAAAGCTTCTCAAACAAATCATAAACATGCAGGCAAAAAAGGCATAAAGGGGAGATCTTGGGCCAGACTGGGAACACAAGACGATGGGGAGCAGGGGCTCGTTTTAAGTCAATTAATATATAATTACATGTTTACTACCTGCAAGGAATTGTGCTTGGTTGTTAAGGTTATTTGGGTACTTCTCAACACTGAACTGGTCATCTGATGCGAACGGCCAACTCATTCGAAAAGTCCCTGATGCTGGGAAAGACTGATGGCAGAAGGAGAAGAGGGCGTCAGAGGATGAGATGGCTGGATGGCATCAACTGATGCAATGGACATGAACTTGGGCAAACTTTGGGAGATGGTGAGGGACAGGGAGGCCTGGCATGCTGCAGTCCATGGGGTTGCAGAGTCAGACACAACTGGGTGACTGAACGACCCAACAACAACACTGAGTAACCATGTAACAGAAAGTCTTACCTCTCACAATCCTATACATTTCTCACACGAAATTTCAGTATATCCATTTCTAATGAAAAAACTTAAATTGGAGTATAGTTGGGCTTCGCGGGTGGTGCTAGTGATAAAGAACCCACCTGCCAATGCAGGAGACGTAGGAAACACTGGCTCAACCCCTGGGTCAGGAAGACCCACTCCAGTATTCTTGCCTGAAAAATCCCATGGACAGAGGAGACTGGCAGGCTACAGTCCATGGGGTCACAAAGAATCCCACATGACTGAGCAACTAATACTTGCATAGTTCATTTACAATGTTGTGGTAGTTTCATGGGTACAGCAAAGTGAATCAGTTAAACATACACATATATTCACTCTTTTAAAATTCTCTTCCCATGTAAGTCATTAAAGAGTGCTGGGCAGAGTTCCCCGTTCTACACAGTAGGCCCTTGTTAGTTTTTTTTTTAACTTACAATGAAAATGTTTAATGAGAAAAATAAGGAAAAGGGTGTAATAAACACCCTTATTATCTTTCACCTAGATTTAAAAATTGCTAGCATTTTGTCATATTTGCTTCGACGTTCAAATTCAGACATCATGACAACTCCTTCCCAAACATGTTAGTCTGCACCTCTAAAATTAAGAATAGAGTTTGAAAAATACCATACTACCTAACAAAGGTAATAATTTTATTGCTACTTGTTCCGTATACAATCTTCCTAAATTGATCCCCAAATGTTTTATACAGTTCGTTCAAATCCAAGTCCCTTCAAGGCAGCTACTGCATCTAGTTACCTCTAAAAATTCTAGAACAGTAACCTCTCCTTCACTGACGACATCAATCTAATAAAGATATAAAAGAAACCAGTCCACCTGTCCTGTAGAATGCCCCATCTTCTGTATTTCACTGCAGTCTCGCGGCGAAAGGAATCGTTTTAACTCTTTCACTCCCACTCAGGCAAGACGGGCTGCAACTCCTTTTCCTCCAGTCTCCGCTCCCCGGTTCATTGCTCACCTTTCAGAACCTGCAGGAGCAGATCGATCCCCTCCTGGTAACACACCAGAGCCTGCGGGTACCGGGACTCGGCCTCCAGTTCCAACGCCCGCTTTATCACAGTGACGGCAGCTGTGCTCCCAGCGTCCTGCGCCAGGCCGGACCTCGCCATAATCCCGGAAACTGCATCAGCTTCTACCTGTTCCTTGGTGGGTGGGTCCGCGGCGCTCCCGCACGCGGTCACGTGATGCCCATGCATCTGCGCTCTCTTTTTTGCTCCCGGAGTGGGCGGGAGTCTGCCGGAACTAAAGTGCTGCACTATGTGCGCACTGTTACGGCCAAGTTTGAGTGTGGCACTCCGGCTCCTTCCTCGGCTCCTGTTCTCCTCAGTGGTTAACTTAAGGCTGAGAGACTTCTAGCAACTGCTGGTGAGTGGGGAGTGAGTGACTGAAGGTATTGCATTTTTGCTAGGAGCATATATCTGGGAACCCTATGCAGATAAGGATTGATTTTGTCTATTCAATTCTGGGTTTACGGGTCACAGTAAGCTGAATGGGCTTGCGTCCAGGGTTGGCCCTTGGTCTCCCGAAAAGCCGCTTTCCGGCTGGATCACGTCTCCCAGTTTGAGGGATCCCGGGATGCGGCCTGAGGAGCCCCGCCTCCTGGAGCTCGAGGGCTGAGCGTTCCCGGCCCGGCAGTCTGGCGGGAATTTCTGTCTTCTGTTGTACTCGTAACTTGGGCTTTCTTCTGGGGGGCAGCCTAACGAATTGTTAATGGTGATACAAAATTATCTAATTTAAAAATTGTTGCATTTTAGAACGCAAACCCCGAGGAGTTAGCTTATTTTACCTTTTGGGTTTTCCCTGACGGTCCAGTGGTTAAGACTCCGCGCTTGCACTGGAGGAGGCATGGGTTCTGTCCCTGGTGGAGAAACTTATGATCCCGCTTGCTGTGGGACCCGGCCAAAAAAAAAAAAATTACCGTTTTACTAAAAGTCGTGATTTTGCAACCGTGTTTTGATCGCCACCTACTCAAAGATACTTGTTTAGCGTTGTTTTGTTTTGTTTTTTCCCAAGAAGCACTTAGGAGGACTGCCTAGAGTTCAGAAAAGAGGCATTTCTTGCCCTCAGAATTGTCAGTTTGTTCAAAGGGAAATTCTGCGTTCTGTGTTCCTTCCCGATCCCCATTTACTATTAAATAGATGTCTTGCCTCTTTAGAAAAGGAATTAGTTTTCATTTTTTAAGAACAGTTACATGTACAGTCATTGTAAAAGAACAACAGCAACAAACCTATCAGACAATACCAGGGGTGGAAGTTAGGGAAAATAGTTCTGGTAGCCTGCCCTTCTCTCCCCAGATATGCTAACGTTTCTCTGATAGGCTTCTAGAGTTTCACAGACATCGCTCTCTCTTTTTAATGGAAGGAAGTGGGATCATACTTCTCTTGTGTGTGTGTGCTCAGTCTTGTCCAACTCTTTGGACTGTTGCTCACCAGTCTCTGTCCATTGGATTTTCCAGGCAAGAATACTGGAGTGAATTGCCATTTCCTGTTACTCCAAGGGATCTTCCTGACCCAGGGATCGACCCGCATCTCTTGCCTCTCCTGCATTGGCAGGCAGATTCTTTACCTCTGCACCACCTGGGAAGCCCTGCATTTATTTTCCTGGCTTTTCATCTGTGTGAGAGAAAGGTAGTTGTACAGTGAAAGACAGGTCCAAGAGTTATGTGCCTAATTATTAAGAACAACTTTTACTTTATTAGAACTTAATGACTTTTGACTGTCACACCTTCTGAAGTCTGGAAGTAAAACTTCATTCAGCAAAAATTGAGTGGCTGCTACAAGGCTATGCTGCTTAGGTAGATGCTTGAAATATATCTGTGAATAGATGGAGCAAAACAAAATTTTAAAATCTTTGTCCTTGTGGAACTCACATGCTATTGGGTGGAAACAGATGGTAAACCACAAACCTAACAAGTAATTAAATTATGTTAGAAAATGTTAAGTGCTATGGAAAGAAAGTCAAGTAAAGTAAAAGACATTGGGAGTGCTGACTGTTGTCCTCTGGGTCAAAATGTTAAATAATGGAATCAGGGTAGACCTCATTGAGAAGATGAGATTTTAGCCAGAAATTGAAGGATGTGAGAGAATTAACTATGTGGATATCAGGGACATTCCAGGAGAGGGAATAGTCAGGGTAGTATGCCTGCCTGGCAAGTTACAGGGCTTTCTTGCAGCGGGTGTGTATAGCAACTGAGCAAGAGAATAATTGGAGATGAAATCCTCAAGGTGGAAGGTTAAGGACTGGCCGCCACTCTGAAATGAAGAGGCGTTAAGTTAAAAGTTTTCAGTCTAGTAATAAATAAAATTTAATTTTGGAGTAATTTTAGATTTACAGAAAAGTTATGCAGATATTAATATTTCCTATATACCCCACCCACACAAAATTTCCCCTGTTATTAACATCTTACATTAGTGTGGTATATTTGTTGTAATTGGGAAGCCAATATTAATACATTATTAACTAAAGGTCATACTTCATTCAGATTTTTTTAGTTTTTACCTGATGTCCTTTTACTCTTTCAAAATTCCATCCAAGATACCACATTATGTTTAGTTGTCAAGTGCTCCTCTTGATTATGTCAGTTTCTCAGACTCACCTTGGTTTTGATGACCTTGACAGTTTTGAGGTGGTCAGGTATTTGAGGAAATACTGGTTAAGTATTTTGTACAATGTCCTTCAACTGGAGTTTGTCTGATATTTTTCTGTTAGAGTGATGATAGGGGTTTCTGGAAGGAAGACATAGAGGTGAAGTGCTGTTCTCAGTCTGTCATTCCGTGGATGCTATCAGCTTGGCTTTTATCACAGTTGATGTTAATCTTGATCACTTTGAAGATGTAGTGTTGGTTAGATTTCTCTAGTGTAACATTATTTCCTCCTCCCCGCCCCCCACGACTTCTTTCCTGACTCGAGCAGAAAGTCTTTAAGTGTACCCCATGCTTCAGAGTTGATAGCTTTTCTCCACCTCTTTGAGAGGGGAGTATCTACATAAATTATTTGAAATCCTTCTGTAAGAGAGATTTTTTTTTCCCTCTCTCTCATCAATTCATCTGTTTATATCAGTATGGATTCATGGTTAGTTTATGTTTTGGGTTTTATGCCAATACTGTATTACTTATCTTGTTGCTCATATTATTTCAGCTGTAGCTGCTGGGAGCTCTTTCAGTTGGCTTTTAGTCCCTTTGACATACCCCCATCATTTTTGACTTTTTGAGTAGTTCCTTTCTAGCACTACACGATGCTCCAGACTTACCTTTATATATTCTTTATATATTCCTTGCTACAGCCGTGTAATCAGCCTTTTCTCCAAGGAGTCCTGATTCTTTTTATCAGAGAATGCTATTAGGAACTAAGATCTTAGCACTGGGTGTGCTCATTCCTATTGGGATGCCATTGTTTTTAGGTCCTCTCAGCTAAGAGGGCCAACCCATGTATATATATGTATCTATAATTGTTTCTATATCCATCATATCTTTATTAAGCTAGATGTTAGTTCCACCACTAATCCTGTGTCATGGGATGACATAGATATTCTACCCTTCCTCTCTGGCTTGTGTGTAACCACCTACTCTAACAATGAGAAACCTGGGTCTTTGGAAGGTTTTGAGCAGAGGTGTTGATATTACCTGATTTCAGATTTAGTGAGATGCCATGGGGAAAAGACCTTGGGGAAATTAGAACAGAAGCAGGAAGGCCAATTAGGAGGCTTTGCTTGGAATCTAAATAAGAGAAAGATTTAACAAAGAGCCAAGTTAAATAAATTGGATTAGTACCTAACTTTGTGCTTAGGTACCTACTATCTTTGTTAGTACCTAAGAAAATGCTTAACTTTGGAGGAAGAAGTATGGTAGGGAAAATAATTTAGATTGTTTGATTGGAGTGCTGGAGGATTAAGCATCTCTTCTAAAGAAGCCTTGATACAAAGGATCTAAACAGACAGCCAAGCAAACTGGATAATTTGAACTAGGAATTGCTATGCTGTATTGTAATGTTTAAAGTATAAAATCTGAATGGCAGTTATGAAATTCTGATTTACTTCTGAATTCTTGGTTGAATGGACCATGGATGTAACCCATTAATTAATTCAGACATTCATCAACAAACATGGTGCCTGCTGTCTATCAGATAGTGTGCTGGATGCCAAGAATATAGAATAAAACAAAAGTTTTGCTTTTAGGGCACTAAGATTATAGTAGTTAGCGCTTCTAAAACTGATACAGAATTTTGAAATACTGGTTCAGTTGCTGAGAATTTTTCTGAAGTCAGGCCCTTTTAGGGGGACATCTTGCATTGATTCCCCAACTTCATTGCTTTTTCCACACCACAGGAAAGACCTGCAGAGCTTGAGTGAGCCAGAATCTGATAGACATTGAAATACAGCACTTAACCTTATTTTGGCATGTTAGGGTATTCTTATTGTAGCTCTGTAATAACTTAATGATCTTATAATAGTAAAAGTTACCATCTATTAAGGGCTTCTGATATGCCAAGTACTGTTTTAGATGTTTTTAGAATAATTCATTTGCAAGATAGGTATTATTTTCTTTCTGTTCTTAGAGGTGGGGGGAATTGAAACATATGAATTAAGTCACGTATCCAAAATATATTAATGCATGTAGTTCATGAACTTAATCTTTCTACATTCAGTTTAAGTCAGTATGTGTGTGTGTGTGTGAGAGAGAGAGAGAGAGTCACTCAGTCATGTCTGACTCTTTGCAACCCCATGGACTGTAGCTCACCAGGCTCCTCTATCCATGGAATTCTCCAGGCAAGAATACTGGAGTGGGTAGCCATTTCCTTCTCCAGGGGATCTTCCCAGCCCAGGGATCAAACTTGGGTCTCCTGCGTTGCAGGAAGATTCTTTGCCCTTTGAGCCACCAGGGAAGCCCTTAAGTCAGTATAGTAGGCTCTAATTGTTCTGTGTCTAAATAAACGTGACTTTTACTTTATAAAAGCAATGCATGTTCATTAAGAATAGCTTAAAATGCAAATAAGCAAAAAAGAGCATCCTACTGTTCTTAACAGAAGGGTGTTAGGATTTAATGAAAATGTAATAAAAGAATTAGGTTCCAGACCACATACTCTCTTAAAAGCTGGATGCTCTTGGGT